TGTTAGACGTGTGTTTAGTATTGACATAGATAATTTGCCACAACTTGTAACTGATATCCCCCTACAATTACCGGGGTCATCTTTTATCCCGCCTTATAATAGCCTGGGAGCACCACACGGGAGTACTGTTGCCGATTCTGCGGCAGAGCCTGCAGGGCCAGAATCGGCTGTACCAGCCATGAGAGGCGCTGCCCGGCCAGACCCGCAGAGAGTGACTGAAGCTGTAGACCGTCTGATAAGACGACAAGGGCCGAAGATAATAGCCTGGGTACCATCGCTACGCTAGAAAAAGCGGAGCAAAATCCGGATTGAACCAAGGCTAGCTGTATAATAGGAAATGTAGATGTTTCCATCACACATGCGAGTCATTATGTCACCAAAAATGACGTTAGTTGTTAACGTTACATCGTGTATATGAAGGAACAAGTCAGCTAGTGAACCAATATTATTGTTCCGAACTACTAACGAGTGTTCCAACACGAAAGGAAGCCGTCAACAACATGCAACAGCAAAAGCATGATACAACACAAACGGATGGCATCTCACTGGTTTTATGTTAGTAGTAACATTAGATGTAAGATCGTGCCAGACTTGGTTGTGTTAGTAACGGCAACAATAACGCGCAGGCAACAGGTTGGAATAAAGATCCAACCGATAGTCTCTTGTGACAGGCCTGGTCTCGTAGCGGTACCTGAAAAAAACATAACGCTGACATGAATTCTACGGCGCACCGTGCCACGGACATAGTGACTTACTCAAGTTACTGTGCAATAATGTGCAATTGTATTGTTAGCTGTGGATTGTATAGTAATTTTAATTATGTAAATGTTAATACATTGCAGTGGTTTTAATCTACGTATTTGTAAAATGCCAACGGAATTCGATTCAGTCGTGTTTGAAGGAATTCAGCACGCTGCAAAGTTGATTTTAAACAAAGATTTGATTTTTTGTCTTCTTCACGTTTCCTGAAACGCAGAGCATGGCGGTATAGCTTGGATTAATATACGCCATTGTTCCTATCGATGAGCAGTATTTTGGAGATAGAAAGGATTTAAATCCAAATCCCAGGAAAAGGACGTCTCTCTCGAATATACAGAACACCTCTGCCGCCGCAAATATGTCACAGTGGAAGCAAAGAGCTACCTCCTCGGTGAAAGTATGCAAAACTCGTCAAAATTAAAAAAAAAATACACACAGAGAACTACGGCTCATATGCACACATTATCACGTTTAATCACAATAACACAATGTTAAGTTAGCGTATCCGTTTCCAAGTGAATTCTAAAATACTACACAAACTGTCGCGGAGGCACTGCGACCTTTGAAGTGACGAAACACAGTTTTCGCCCTATGGGGATTTCTATAGTTAAGCACCACAAGGTGGCTCACTTCGACGCGGTAAAATTATAGTAGGGTGCACTAGAGTAACACGGCCAACTAGTATTTTGAAATATACGGTTAATAATCTACAAAATAATAGAAAACAAAAAAGTTATGTTTTTAACATCGTGACGACTTCTTTTATTTGGCCACCTGTGGAGGTCAAAGGAACTGCAGGCGGCTCACCATGGAACGCAGTTGCGTAATGCGGCGCATTTATACACGAACAGGGAAATCTTCACAGTATGTATCTTGTACACTGTATCAGATTATACAGGGTACAAGCCGATGCATTTCTATACAACACAGCTCAGTTTACTCCTGGTTACCTCTCACATAAGTCGCTTGATTCAAGGAGCTTTTATCACAGAAGAAGGTCCTTGCTTGATTCAAGAGTTCTGCCCGCACTACTTTCTATACCCGCGCCCATTAATACTGTGTTCTCCGACCTTGACATTAAACAATACCATGACCTTTGACCTAATGAATATTAATTAGTAGTAGCGTGGGTTATGGCCGGCCGGTGTGTCACGACTTCGGGAGTGAGGAGCGAGTGTTGTTTTATAAAGTCAGTGTTGACCGATAGAGGACACAGATGAAGTAGCCAACGCCACAAGATTTGAAGATCCATATTTCGTCTTCCATGCCCACAGGTATCTTTTTTTTTTTCCATTCTCGGTATTTAAAAAAATGCTGCGTTGTTTACAGCATTTAGTATCCAGGCCCTGGTAGCCGCGGCGACTGTTGCAGGGCTTCTCTTGCTTGCAGTCTTTTACATTAGCCCTAACAACAGTCGCGGAGCGGTGCATTGGGCCAAATGAACAAACATGCGTTGTACCGTGCCGGAACACTTTGAGACCGAAGTTTGCACGTCCCTAGATTCCTAACAGCCTCACCTAACGTGCCGGGGTGTTTTGCGCGTCAACCGGCCCCTGCGCGACTTGTACCGCCACTATTTGCGATCGCTCCCCACGTAAAACATAACAGTTGGCCGCCATTTTTGATTGGAATCAGCCGCCGGCAAATTTGCCGCTATTTTTCTGATAAGTTATTTCTATGGATCAGAAAAGTAGCGGCACATTTGAAGTAGCTGATTCAGCGCGCGGCTGACCAAGATGGCGGCCACTCGGCTTATGAATACATGGGGAGCGATCGCAAATAGTGGCGGTACAAGTCGCGCAGGGGCCGGTTGACGCGCAAAACACCCCGGCACGTTAGGTGAGGCTGTTAGGAATCTAGGGACGTGCAAACTTCGGTCTCAAAGTGTTCCGGCACGGTACAACGCATGTTTGTTCATTTGGCCCAATGCACCGCTCCGCGACTGTTGTTAGGGCTAATGTAAAAGACTGCAAGCAAGAGAAGCCCTGCAACAGTCGCCGCGGCTAAGGCCCTGGCAGTCACGGAGCCTTATTCACGTAGATATGCTTCCCGATTCTCCCTATCAAAGTCCCCCTTCCTGAAAGCAAAATCAGTGAGTTGTTGGAATGTACAAATTATTATCGTGATTGCTTTGACAGTACTATGTTGTTTATTTCGACGTTCTTAGATTTTGGAACGTTACCTCCATAATGCGATTATTTTTTTACGATATCTTCGAAAGTTCGTTTTCTACCGTAAATACCTGCCCATGAATGCATGATATTTACTCAAAAGGGAAAAGGGACCCATACATAAATCTCACAGAAAATGTGCGTTTGTGGCTTCGCAAATTCGTCTTTTTTGCTTGATATATGATAGTTTGGTGTGAAGTTTGCGATTTGACCCAAAATGGTGACGTTCCCGATCGCGCGTTGTTGGCCCAAAATGGTGACGTTCCCGATCGCGCAATGTCTGCCCGAAATGGTGACGTTCCCGTTGCGCGATGTTGGTCCGAAATGGTGACGTTCCCGTGCTTGCCATTTGGGAGCTGAGTAATGAAAACACATGCGGCCACTGTCGCTCTAGAGTGGTGAATCTCCCGGACGGGAGTCCGTGCCTCTACGTGGAGAGTTTCCCGTGCGGGAACTGTGCCTCTTACATGGCACAGTTCCCGCACGGGAAACTCTCCACCTCCCGTACCTCGGCTTACCTGCCAGAGGAGCAGGTTGGCAGAATGTACTGCGCCAGCGCAGAACCCTGGATTTTCACGATTTTCAGTGGATTTTTGGACAACGTTGCATCAGAGTTTTGCCCGTTGCAAATGATATATTTTCCTACATAACATTTGGAAACTACAGACGGGATATTAACCTTATATGCGCTAGTACGACCTTATATGAGACGTTCTGTCGAAATGCTATGTACAATACATGACGGTTTTCGCGCAGGTGCAGTACGTTCTGCCGACGTGCCGTCCAGAGGGCAGTATTGTATAGCCAGAACATGTTGACCAATCAGAAGGCTCTATTTCCCATCGGTTATCAGTCTGTAACCTCAAAAGTGGTCAGTTATTAGAATAACAGACCACTTTTTGGACCGTACCATTATACAGGGGACAGGACACTTAACAGTAGTGTTAGGACTTGTAGTATTTATCTATCAAACAATGTATTGTACTGTAGTTTATTTTGAGTAATTTATTTGAAAATACAACATTATTCACTGGTTATCGAGGGATTATCTCACCATATACACCTCAGGGCGGGGCATTAACTCTTATATGTTAATTATAAACCTTATGTACCCGAATATAACCTTATATAAGACGTTCTGCCAAATTGCTATACATAATACATTACGGGTTTTGCACAGGTGCAGTACATTCTGCTTGCATATGGACTGTTATAATTTATATTTTATACTAGAAAGGCCAATATTTGCTTAGGAGCAAATACAGCGATGGCTTCACCACATTTTACGACATGGTAGGGAAAGAATGAGAAACACAAGGGAAAACAATGATTTACATTGATATAACTATAATATGAAGTAACATACAACTAAAACAACAGTTGGATAGCTATTCCCTACATTATTGGTTAGGATTTTAATTGCATAATGCAAACTGTTGATTTCAAAATAAAAAAAAACGTTCATGCCCCGCATTCCAATGCTGGAGCAGGAAAGCTTGAAATACCTACCAAAACACTTGAATACAGACATACTGTCAGTATGAAAATGCTCTGTGCAGGTGTTAATCAAGTTAAATCCCAACAGCCAATCAGCAAGAAATGCTCTGTGCAGGTGGAAATGCTCTGTGCAAGTGTTAATCAAGTTAAATCCCAACAGCCAATCAGCAAGAAGAATAGAGGAAAGCTGCATGCCTATTGGTTGATGCCCTGCATGCCATTGTGATGACTCATGCCCAAACGTGGTACACAGCACAGTAATACATTTGCTATAACACAGCCAAAAAGCTCAAATAAAACCATTCTAAAAGCCTATATCACCAAAATTTAAAAAACGCCTGGGGGTATTTGCCCACTGTACCTCCATACCAAATTTCAGGACCTTAGGCCCCAAAATGAAGAAGCTGAATCCATTTAAAAAATGGCAGGAGAAGAAGAAGAAGGAGAAGGAGAAGAAACATCAGAAAAAGAAATATGGTTTCACCACACCACTTCGTGGTGTGGTGAAGCCATAAATATAATCACTTTAAGCTGACATTACTGTTGTTTGTTTGTTTGTTTGTCTCAGTGGAGGGTTCATGGTGGTACGACTGGCAGACAAGAGCGCTTCTGTCATCGACTTCCGAGAAACTGCGCCGTCAGCGGCCACCACAGACATGTTCCACAACAAGCTCAGTCAAGTCAACGTGGTACGTATATATAGAATACAACACGGGGTATTCCGTATCGCCCGAGGTATCGGCCCGACCGCGCGTCGGATCGCCCGACGGCCGCAGGGCAATCCGACTCGCGGGAGGACCAGGACCGAGGACGATGCTGAATACACCGTGTTGTATTTTATTTATGTCATACCCACCCAAGAAAACACGCCTTTCAATGCAAGATGAGCCAAAAGTTGGTGCCCCTAAACCCTAAAATGCAACAGCATCAATTCCAACGTCCAGATTCTGTATTCGAATTTTCGAAAGGGGCACAAGCGGGTAGGGCGAAACGTTTTATGGAAGCCATGGAAGCGTTCGATAACGGGTTCCGGACCGGGCCGTACCGTAAAGTGATATATGATATAAACACTAAATGAATACAGGACACTCCTCTGGTCTCTTTTAGTAGTCATTTCTTCATTTATTTTCCAGAGCTGGAAATTCATTTTTTGGGAATGAAATTCATTTTTTGGAATGAATTTCTACCTAAATTTTTACCTAAAGTAAAAAAAAAATGTGTAAACGAAAAAATTTTGTGTGCACCATATACATGTTGTAAGATAAAATAAAAAGAATGACAGCAAAAACTAAATATGTTTCATTTCTGAAGAAAAGTGCTATAACAATGATTTTATTATTTTTCTGACACTTAAGTGATAAAAATATGCTGTATACTACTAATATATACATTTAACATCTTCACATACTTTAACCTACGAAAATATTTGGAAAAAAATTGTGTGCACAGCTCCATATTTGGGTGCACTAAGGTTCACATGCACCCAGTATTTCAAGCCAGGGATCTAGCTAGCACAAAGTAGCGTAAGGGCCACCTACTAGTACGCTATAATCTTGACCCCCTACACTAAATTTTCCCCCCTACACTATAATTTTGACCCCCTGCGCTAAATTTCCACCCCTACACTAATTTTAATATAGCATAGGGGCATTGTGACTGTATTTCTTTGTTCAAGAATGCCAGGTCAAATGTGAAAAATTACCAATCAAGAATACATTGGACATACCTTAAAAATAACTTTTTTTCCCTTTGGGTGTCCCTCAAATGGCCCCCTTTTTTAGCTCAAATTTTTAAAAGCTCCGCACCACAGAAGGAGGGCCCATCGACAGGCAGCCAGTACCACTACTCTAAAATTACATCCTAGCTAGAACCCTGCAAGCCATAAAAATATTTGTCTCTTAACAGGATGGTCTAGCTGTGGCAGTTCCTGGCATGTTACGGGGGTTAGAACTCGCACATAAGAAATACGGAAAGTAAGTACAGCATTAGAAATTTTTATTTTAACACAAAACTTTTAGTGCCAACAAATTTGAATAACTGCAGTTCAAAGAAAAATGGAAATTCCTTTTTGTATGCATCAGTTCATTGTGATATGAGGAAATTCTGTAATGTCCATTGCTTCCGTATAAGATATACGGAAAGTAAGTACAGCATTAGAAATTTTGTGGGGTAAAATAGAAAATTTAGCACAAAACTTTTTATGCAAAATTTTAAGATTCAAATGACTGCAGTTCAAAGAAAAATGGAAATTACTTTTTGTACACATCATTAACTGTTCATTGTGATTTGACTTTTTTTTTTAGGGAATTCCTGGAAATCAATTCCTGGAAATCAATTCCTGGAATTCAGTTCCTGGAAATCAATTCCTGGAATTCAATTCCATAATCATGATAATGTGTATGGAACAAGCTTCCTTGTGAATTCTTCCAAAATGGGTACATTGCAACCTTATTCTTTTCAAGTGAATGATAAACAAATATCTTTCTCTATAGTCCAGCGGCATAGGTGGCAAAATCAGCTGAATTGTGCACTTTTGTCTAAAAGCACCAAATTTGGCACACATGTAGTAGAAGATATACTGCACAAATTTGGATACTACAGTTCCTTATTGTAACCCAAAACATGTATTGTGGTTTGTATGAGCCTTGTTTTGAAATGAAAATTAAAGTAAAGAAAAGAAATGTTCATTGCTTCTGTATAATGTACTAACTAAGTTTTTTTTAACCCTCAGACTACCGTGGACCGTGTTGCTCAGCCCTGTGATAGACCTGGCCAGAGAGGGGTTTGCAGTAACAGATGAGTTGGGTAGGTGGTGCTTTTTTGAGTTTTAACCTTCTTCCTGCTGCCTAGCCCCATCAGCAATACAAATTTGGTGCCAAAGACTGAAAGAGGTACCTTAGCAGGCTGTAGGTTAAATAACCCATTTCATGTTTAGTCATAATGTAACCCAACACCACAGGCTACAGCACCAGTTACCATGGTGTCTAGTGCTGTGTACCGGTTCACTGGACTTGGATCCGGACTTGTAAGAATTTTTAGATTCAAGTCCAAAAAACCTAAAAGTCAAGAACCGATTCCAGACTTATTAAAAAAAAAACATGTCGCCCTTTTGTTTCCAAACCAGTGAAACCTTCCATAGATTGCAAAATCTTTGCTGCAAAATGAAGAAAACATTGCCATCACATCGGGCATCGTCAAGTACCGGCCTCCATGTTACAATGTATGTGGCCAAAGTTTTGCCCAAACAACATTGCAAGGTTGCCAACATGCAATTTTGTATATGCCATGGGTTTAGGTCCAGACTTATGAGTCCGGAACTGAACCTAAACCTCTGGACTTGAATCTGGACCTGAACCTAAATGTGGGTTTGGGTACACAGCACTAATGGTGACAGACATCTGGTCCAGGTCATTGACTTCATTTGTTTGGAATGGAAAAAGAAGAAGAAACTGAGCAAAAATGCTTCGCCCAATTGTTTTGTCTGAGAATTCTTAATACACAAAAACTTACCCTAAGGCCACACCAATTTAATTTCTTGGTTAACGGATTCGCCTCTTCATTTTTTTCTGATTTGCAAATAAAAATAAAAATTCAGAATCAACTGCAAAATGCTCATATTTTGCCCTGAACAGTTGAAAACAGTCCTTTTCTTCCTAGTTGTTACAGTTACTCCATCTTTCAATGCAGTGGTATCATTGAAAGTTCAAAATTCATTGTTTAAATTTTGAACCAGCCTGGTTTGTTGAGTTCATGGCTCCTATCATACCATTTTGGGCCATAATAGGATGCCTAGGCCTGTTTTTATTTTTATTTTTTTTCGCCCGCCCGCTCCATTATTTTTCTAGAAAAATCCGTTAACCAAGAAATTAAATTGGTGTGGCCTAAACTATCTTTCTGTTCTTATTGAAGAAGTTTAGAGGAACATGTTGATTTGTCGCTAAACCCTTGTACCTGTACCTGTACCTAAAATTTTTTACATCCAATGTCACTAAAACTAATCTAGAATCATTTTTAACATTTACTAAAAATTCTGCCATTTTTCCCACAGCCGATGCCCTATCATCCATTGGTATAGACAGCATGTCTGGTGACTTTAAGAAAGTCTTTGCGCCCAACGATAGACTGTTCACGGCGGGACAGAAGATGACACGGCCGGACCTCGCGGACACTCTCCAACAGATCGCAGAGAACGGGGCCGATGCCTTCTACACTGGACCAATAGCAGAGAGCGTTGTAACAGCTGTAAGGGCTCTGATGTTGTATATGTGCTTCCTTTTCATTGGTTAGCAAGTTTGAATTTAGCAAGTGGTAGTTTTGTTCTCCAAATTAGTTTAGAAGATGTGTTAGATTTCGGAAAAAAATGTTGAAAATGTCATTTATTGATTATGTCTGAAAATAAAAAGAATTCTCGATTCTTAGTTTCTATTTCTATTTATAAAATGAGCAAAATTTGTTAGGTAAATTTGTACTACAAATCTAGACTAGAGATATGGAGTTCCCCAAAATTTGCAAATTCAAAAATTCAAATTATGACCGTTATTTACTGGTCCATTCTGCATTTCCAGGCACATAACACAGGAGGCGTCATCACTGCTCAGGACCTTGCTGACTACCAGGCTTTACACAAACCAACACTCAACACCACCTACAAATGTAGGTTTTCACAGCACCTTTTATACTACTCAACTTTATTCGTGATCTTTGTAGACTACTTACGAATTTCATTTATGTTAAAAAAACATCTGTTTAAAAAATTCTTGAATTGTCTTTAAAAAAATTGACTTATTTTTACTTAAAACATATATAAATATACTAGAAACTTATATATATTAAGGTAACATTTGCAAAGCAAAATAATGCATAATATTTACCTTCGCATATGGTCTGCTCTGCTAATTCTAACTCAAATACAATGTCAGACAGGAGTATAAATCCCTCCTACTATGAAATTGCAACATTATGTAACCCAACACCAATTACCATGGTGAGAGACGTCAACAAATCAGGTCAGAGGTCAGTGTTTGGAACAGAAGAAGAAGAGAAAACGTAGCAAAAGCAATATGTTTTCCTTTGGTAAACACAATTTATTATAATGACTATTTTTATGGATAGATAATTTGAGAAAGATATTGATGATATTGAGATACCCAAAATTTTTCCAATTTTAGCGTCCTACATTCTGACTACCCCGGCACCATCTGGTGGTCCCAGTCTGCTGTCCATACTGAACATCATGGAAGGATATAACCTCACAGAGAAAGACTCAACTAAGGCTGTCACTTACCAACGACTGGTGGAGGTAGGGACAGATCAGTAGAGATCATGGGGAGGGGGAAGGGCAGGGACAAACCATTGTAGATCATAGAGAGGACAGTCTTGTTGAGATAGGGAACATTGAGAACTGAAGAGTGGAGAATGGTGTAGCTAAGCTTACACTATTATGAAGAAATTTTTGCTTGTCAAAGACATAAAATTTTACAATATCATGAAACAGATGCTTGTATTTACAAATTGTGTATTATGAGAACTGATGTTTTCGTATATGTTTCGTGATTTTTAGACAATTTATGTCGATGTAGGTAATAAGATACACAAGGAAACATGCATGGTCACTGATGAAAAGTACATGTAGTGGATGCTACTTGAAACGTCTGACAGTTTTCAAAACCTATCCAGTGGCTTGAGAGTTGAAGTGTTTTCTTGAATGTAAAGACAGGTTTATTGGAAAACAATGGTAGAAAAATGTTGTTAGTTGTCAGCCGTAACAATTGCATTTTCTTTCTTTTTTTTCATGCAGGCATTTAAGTTTGCCTATGCCCAGCACACAACACTCGGGGACCCTGACAAGGCACCTAATGTTACAGGGATAGTCAACAGAATCATCAGGTATGGGGACACTTCAGTGTACTAGCCAGTATCCATAATATTATGTCCTACCTGGGCCGCGATTACGTTCGATACGGGTGTTCCGGCCCGTGTGATAACTAGCGGTACAGCCCGGGGGTTCTAAACGCGTACAGCCTGGGGCTTCCAAATGTTCCATAGAACGATTCGAACGCGTTTCGCCCTAACCGCGTGCACCGCTTCCGAAAATTCGAACACAAAATTCGGACGTTGGAATTGATGTTGTTGCGTTTTTTGGGTTTAGGGACACCAAATTTTCGCCTATTTCGCATTAAAAGGCGTGTTTTCTTGGGTGTGTTTTCCTCGGTCCCAGCCCTCCCGCGGATCGGATCTCCCTCCGGCCTTCGGCCGTCGGGCGATCCGACGCGCGGTCGGGCTGGTACCTCGGGCGATACGGAATACACCGTGTTGTATTCTATATTTATCATAAATTTTGACAGAATTTTGCTGCTCATGACAATCAGTCATCTTTGATAAAAAAAATTGGCATGTTAAGATGTGGTAAGAGATGTTTGCACCTCAAAATGCAGGAAATTATTATAGCATTTTAGAGGGCAAAGATTTAAGAAAAAAATTTTTTTTGTCATTTATGATTTTGTTTAATGTGTTTTTAATGTAATTTGTTAAATAATTTTGTTTGAATCTTTGATGTAACATTATATCAACTGACTCTGACAATGAGTAGCAAAATTCACAAGTCAAATGTCTGGAAAGAAGGACACTGGCTAAAACACTGGGATGCTCATACATGCTTTATTACTTAATTGTTAAATACACAATTGTTAAAAACAATATTGTGTTTTATATGAGTCACAAGGGTTTCGATCCTGACTTACCCATAATTTCTTTTGTAAAAAATTTTAAAAATTCCTTTTTTTGTACAATTTATAGCAAAGAAGAAGCGAAGAAGTTGCGTGGGAAAATCGATGACACGCAGGCATTCACGTCACCTGACCACTATGGACCGTTCTACACTCTCGGAGACGACAAGGGCGCAGGTCACGTGTCCGTCATCGGACCTGAACTGGACATGGTGTCCATTTCCTCGTAAGTTGGCGTACATTTAAGGGTTAATGTCCCGCCCCGAGGTGAATATGGTGTGATAAAGCCTTGTCAGTTGCTATAACCACCGAATAAAGCCACCAAGTGAGCGCAGCGAACGAGGTGGCTTTATGAGGTGGTTATAGCAACTGACAAGGCTTTATCACACCATATTCACCGAGAAAGGGCGGGCCATTAACACTATTATCATATAGCTTTCACGATAGCCTATCCAAACTGATGCAGTGAAGAGTCACACAATGTACCCCTTGCACATGCTGAATAGAACACAGAATATCTGTTCCGTCTGAAGTCACCTGAGGTCACTGGGGGGTTCATGTTCTATGTCTTCTATCTGGGTCACAGGCAGGGAACAGGTGTTCTTATGGGAGTCATTGGAACACAACTCAAGTTATTTTTGGATTTTTTAGAAGTAGAGCCGTGTTCTATTGGGTCACCTGAGGTCATATGCGGGTGATTATTCATTTTGTTTAATGTATGGATTGGGATGAATAAATACCCGATTTTGACTCTATTTGTGACATTACGGCGACATAAAGAATGTGGAATGGAGCCTTCTGATTGGTCAACGTCACCCGGCTATATGATAATTCATTGTAATCTTTCATTGTATTCTGCTCTGTTCCATTATAACTTCTATTCTATTCTATTCTATTCTATTCTATTCTATTCTATTCTATTCTATTTCTATTCTATTCTATTTTATTCTATTCCTTTCTATTCTATTCTATTCTATTCTATTTTATTCTATTCCTTTCTATTCTATTCTATTCTATTCTATTCCATTCTATTCTATTCTTTTCAGATCTATTTTTGTCTAATATTTCATTCTATTCTATTCTATTCTATTCTATTCTATAGTTCTATTCTATTCTATACTATAATTCTATTCTAATTCTATTCTATTCTATTATAGTCTATATTTTATTTTATTCTATTCTGTTCTGTTCTATTCTATTCTATTCCTTTCTATTCTATTCTTTTTAGATCTATTTTCGTCTAATATTTCATTCTATTTTATTCTATTCTATTCTATTCTATTCTAGTCTTCTGTTTGATTCTGTTTTATACTATGGAATAGTAGAGAATAGAATATTTAATATAGAAATTCAATTGTTGGATCTGTCAATGAAGTTTAGACATCCAGGTAATAAGATACCAACTTGAAAATTAAGCAACTGGACAGTCCTTTCTTAAAAATCCACAATTTTGGGTGCAATTTTGGGATGCTTTTGTCACATAGTTTGTGATTCTTGTTTTGTAGGAGTCTACACGACCTTTTTGGGTCAGGGGTCATCACCTCTACAGGGGTCATCCTGAATGGTCACATGGCCGACTTCTCCATCCCGGGGCAGGCTTCTCAGACCGGGGCACCCAACCCTGTGAGTGGCGGCCATCTTGAATTTAGAGGTCAAAGTGATGAAATGACTGAACTTGACCTTCCTTTCATACGTGTGTGATGAGAGTTTGTCTTAGGTGTTAAAATAATGTGGACAGCATTCAAGTTTGTTAGCCTAACTATATATAGCACTTCGGCAGAACGTACTGCACCTGCACGAAACCCGTTATGTATTGTGCATAGCACTTCGACAGAACATCCTCATACATGTATAAGGTTGTATTCACGTATATAAGGTTAGCATCCTGTCTGTAGTTTCTGAATGTTATATCGGAAAATATATCTGACGAAAACCTGACGAAAACCATGAAAAATCGGAGTTTTGCGCAGGTACAGTACGTTCTGCCGGCATGCCTGACGACATAAAATTTCTAGTAGCCCTTCCATTGGTCAGGGTAGGAGGCACTATTTTCTGAGAGATTGTGTAATACAGGTTGACAAGTTCTGAGCTTGAATAAAGGGTCTTTTTACACAACCAAGAAGTTTACTCAGCCAACGTTTCAGTGACCGTCTGTCACCTTCCTCAGGGCAAGTCTGACTATAGCAGCGACACCTGTGCTGCAGTGCAATGTGAACCAGTCAGAATTGCCCTGAGGAAGGTGACAGACGGTCACCAAAACATTGGCTGAATAAGCCTCTTGGTTGGTTGTGTGAAAAAAGTCTCTTTATTGAGTGACTTACCAACCTGATGAAACAACTGTAACAGTAATAAATCACTTTATGTTTGTGGTAGCAAAAGTTAAAATTGCAGTCTGAAAAACAAGGACATGTTCGTGGAATTATAAGTTCACTGTGGCATCAGGTGCAGCAAAAAGAAAGTTGGCAGTTTGGAGAAAAAGAGGAAGAAACAGAGCAAAAACAATATGTTTTCCTACGGTAAACATGATTTACTGTATCCAAGAACTTCTTAACTTTTTCTTTCGTGGTAATTTTGTTGCTTATTTTGCTTGCAGGAGAACTATATCGTGCCGGGGAAGCGCCCGCTGTCGTGGCTGAGTCCCACGATCGTCGTCCCGATCGCTAACCCGTGTGGGAAGCACCTGTCGCTGGGAGCCTCCAGCGGCACCACCACCCTGTCAGGCATCGCGCAGGTCGTCCTGAACATCCTGGCATTTGGGAAGGAGCTGGAGATCAGCGTGGAGGGACCCAGACTGCACAACCAGCTACAACCGGACGAGACCCGCGCTGAAGGTACTTTGACCTTTCACCTCTGACCCAAGTACTTTTGATTTCCTTTGCCTCTATCCTTTGACCAAAAAAATTCATTGAAATGGAAAAAGGAAAGGTAGAATTTAGTTTCTTTTTTTTTGCTTTAGAATCCATAGCCATGTGAACTCTGACCTCCCGAAAGCCTTTTACCCCTCATGCACTTTGACCTCTAATATTGACCTTTCACAGGAAAAGTGTTGATATGATTTTTGTTTCTCACACACAATCCAATATCTACTAAGTATATACTTCTGAATATGAAAAATATGGAGATTACTTCTGAATGTATCTTGTGACATCTATCACTCTTCTTCAGCATCAGAACTTAGTAGAGTTTGTAGAGAAATGTATGTAAATTGGATGTTTAACCTTGAAGTTCATCAATGTATCATTGTTTTTGTTTTAAGCTGGTTTCGATGCAGCCATTTTGACTCAGCTGGCCGCGTGGAAACAGAACGTGGTTCGGGACCAGGAGGGGCTGAACGTCGTGCAGACCGCGTACCGCGTGAAGGACGCCATTACCGGACAGGCCGACACGCGGGAAAAGGGTAGCAAGGCAAGCGTCTTTTAACCAATGTCAGCATAGAAAAGATCGTTAGTATACATTGTTCTAGTTCTGTGTTCACGTTGAAGTTCATAGTGTAATACGAGAACAATGTTTGTTTGTTTGTTTGTTCGAGCATTTGTTTATGGAAAAACAGGATATGAATGTCAAAAATGTGGCATTTTTATGCTTGCGATTTTTGTGCAACATCAATTTTCAGGGAAAGACTGAAAACAAGGAGCTGCCAGCATAGAAATCAAAGCATATGTGTATTTTAGACAGGGAAGACATTAGTGGGTATACTTACTGCTGCAGTTGTGGTCACTCCTGCTAGGTGGCCTCAGTGTACCATTCCAAAGTGGAGGAGAGAGAAAATGCTGCTTACTACAACTATAGTGTCAAAAGTTCTCAAAGTTTTAATATGTATATTTCGGCAAAGGTTATTTATCACTTATGAGGTATGTGTATTGTTCAGGTTTGGTTTATTGAATATATAATATTATTTCACCGAGGGTGCAACATACAATGTATTGGTGCAATATTAGAACGTAAATTATTTGCATATAGACCACTGAAAGATTTGAATTATCAAATCTTACTTAGTTTCAGGTGTTGGTTGTATTTATCTAAAAATATTTGTATATGTGTGGTGTCAAAATCTTATATTATTTTCCACTTTAAAATATGAAACATTGATGTTTTGTTGTACACAATCCATAGAAAATGATATGAATCTAAAGTTAAATTAAAAACATAGCAAAATTTTGAATCATGGTGAAAAGTCTAGAATATGCATGTTACTAGACTTAGGTATAAAAGAAATTAAAATCTATGAAGGATATTAAACATAAATTATTGTTGTGGTGTTATTTTTGTGGAATTTAGCATAGAGCATTGCCCGGACCCCCTTGCCACCCCTTGGTCACCCCTGGCTTTGTACAGGTGTTATATTTAATTGAGTTAACCCAATCAATCCCAACAGCCAATCAGCAAGAAGAATAGAGAAAAGCTGCATGCCTATTAGTTGCTTGCTCTGCATGCCATTCTGATGACTATACTGAAATAATGAAGTACAATGTACCACAAACACAAACATTTCTGAGAGTACACTTTCCTGGAATTGTACAGTTTTATTCATCAAAATGTTTCCTTTTTTCCTCCTACAACATTGATTGACTCTCCTTGATTGTTTTTTAATGTAATGGCAGAACAACAATTATACCAGCAATGCAATTTTTCTCCGAACTGCATATTGGACGGATCAAATGTACTAGTACGAACTTGACTCTAACAAAGATCTCTCTATAGTTCAGCCAAGTTTATCCAGGGTCTACAGCTATTGCAAAATCCTTATACAATACACAAATAAGTTATTTACCAATGAATATCGTTAATTTTGAACCACCACATAAGAATTACATGCACAGACTCTAATATATGTACATGTATTACGTACAACATTATTACGAGTATTTAAGCATTGCATGTCCAGTCATATAGAAATGGCCGTACTAGCATTATTGACACAATCGTTTGCATTCTGACTACTGGTAGTAAACAACAATACCTACTATAATAGTAGACAGTATTTAGTGTATGGCACTAGGGTATGACAATAAGGTCTACAAAGAGTACCTCATTTGCATATTTGTGATGTCTTACAGTGACCTCATTTACATAGTTGTGACAATGTGGATGACAACTGAATATGTACAATCCTGATGATGATACAACCAAGGTTTCCTTCTGAAAAACTTTTTTCTGTTCTATTTTCAAACTAATACATGTACTACATATTTATAAGTAATGTCATTGATCGTAACTCTTTGAATGGTTTAACATAAACTGTTAGATGAAGGTTAGCTACAAACTATCTTTTACAAGTGACCTCATTGATAAACTAGGGGCTATTCCAAAACAATTTTCGGGGGTGTGGCAGGTGGGGTGAAGAAATCCCCTTCAACTTTAAATGGAACAACCCAAATCTAGTTTTTTTTTTACATCACTAGTCATAAAGAAAATTGTTTGAAATGTGAAAAAGCTGTGAGAAATCCAAAAAATTTTGTTTCTATCGTTTCATCAATACATTCTCTTTTAACAAAACAAAAGAGGCGTCATAATAAAAAAAGAAGAAAATATGGCATGTTCCAAATACTGATATATAACGTCATCTCCTTTTGGCAAACACAGTATCTTTATATAATATGCTAATTTGTCGGACGGAATATGTACTATACAACGTATAAACTTCTCAGTTCTCAAAATGGTTCAAGTTAGGGAAAAAATCTTGCAATATACGTTTAGATTGATGTATGATTACCCTGATTTCTCTATAATATCATGGATAAAATCATTTCATTGTCAACAAATAGAATAAATTAGCAAGATGAGGGTTAATTAAAATCGGTTCCTGATTCTTTGTATCTTTGCCTATTTTGATTTCCCATCATGCAGTAGTGACTCTACAATCTGCATGACCAAATATGGGCATGACATGGTCATGTGACCGCATTTACAAAATGAAGGTCTGCAGTAACTATAAAATGCTATGGGAAACATCCATGGAAACAAACAATACTTTAAATACTGTTGTATCCTGTTAAGTTGTATTCTTTGCTGAGCAAATTGGGGAGTTAACGTATTATTGGACTGGTTCCTCACAAACTCTAGATAAATATTTTATGTTTATACAGTTAATATATACATAAAATCCATATTATTATCACTGTTGCATCTGTGCACTTACACTTTTCACAATTGCAGGATTTGTCTAATAAAAGAAGTACACTGTATCTGTTGACAGGTACATTCAAATTTGAACTGTGCAATAATAAACACAACAGCTAGGGGTCTCTTTTGCGCTGCAAACAAAATGTCTTCATATAATGTCCTTGATATGAGGTTGACAGCAACATTTAAGTCCGAAAATAACCAATGAGACACATCTAAAAGCAGAGTATGATTGTGATGGCACAAAATGCATAATATCTGTCACTAGAAGTTTGACTCGATTTCTTTCATCAAATCTTCTTCAGATTCGTTGTATTCCACTGGAGCTTCAACTGTCATATAGCTGAAAAATACAAGAGAAAACACAAATTATGTCAGTTATACAATAAAATCATGTAAAAAGCACCAATGGATTTCAACCAGGGCACTAGAAAATTATCAAAAGTTTTAAGTCCAATAAAAAATTGAACATTATAGTTCAATTTTGGGCAGTTATTTGGGATTTAGTTATTTGGGATTTTTTTCTTTTGCACAGGAATGAGTGTGGAACAGTCCCTTTTTGTGGGAGAGAGATGGAGTGAAATATGCTGTATTTGCTTGAAATGCAAATGTCAGCCTTCCTAGTTCTGTATAGTAACTTATACACCTAAAAGCATTGAACAAAAGATAAAAAATAAAAATTGAGATAATCTCTTCATAAAGACTTTAATTTGCAACTGTTACAGGTATGGAGTGAAAGATTATCATATACATGACATTGTACAGTTGGCAAATTTATTCGCTCTTAGCAAATATTCTTTTCAAGATTTTCAGTCTTTAAAGCAGCATTTTTATGTGCACAACGTCTGGTCTTTTGAACCTTCTCGGTCTGGTAAACAAGATGTCAGAGTGGCGAGATCAACATTCTTCTAAGAAATGGAGTTCAAACGACCGCTCTAGTACAGACCGGTTCTGTTTTTAGGTTCAATGTGACATGGCGTCTATGTAGCGTTGACAGTTTTTGACGCCATTGGAACTCAAAACAGGTAAACGGGGGTATTCCAGCGTAACGGTACGCACATACCCGCTGCGATTGGTGTCAGTGCGATGAAAAGGCAGTTCGTGACATTAGCACTTCGCCGATGTTTTCTTTCCAATGTTTGGAATGGACGTTGGAAAACAATTACCATTCCAAGTAAGGGTCGTACTATTAGAATGAAGAGAGGTCAGACGAAAAGAGTGTTCTAGACTGCCTGAAAATTTTTTGTCATCTCTTTCTGAATTTTGTTTGATGTAAGACTAATGTGGGGTCGTGTGGCGCAACAGCAGCGTGCGCGACTCGGAATCAAGAGGTCCCGGGTTCGAGTCCTGACATGCCACCGATCTTGTGCCCTTGGGATTCAAGGCACTTTACACGACTTTCCCCACTAGACTCAAGTGAAAATGAGTATTGTCTGTCCAGTATTCGTTTCTATGTGCGGGACACAACACCAGCAACAGCTGCCTCTGTTACGCATGTATTGCACTGTTGCAATTTCAATAAATCAAATCAAATCAAGACTAATAATTAAATCATGTTGAGCACTGAAGGTGCAAAATGTCAGAAGCATCTCAATCTAAGGTGGCATGCTCCTCCAGAAAAATTTAGAAATCTTGACCCTCTGAAACACTATTTCTATGAATTCTGAAGGACTTTTTGGTAGTCATGTTTAGTTTCAAGTTGACAAAGATTCCTTCAGTCCATCTGAAGATGTTGATTTTGTTGGTCAAAATTTTTGCCCAATCCGTCATCTTTGACACATATTAAAATTAGCGTATAAAGAAAGAGATGTCATTAACCTTAGCAAAATTTGCCCTTCAAAATGTAGGAAATACATTGCACAGCGTTTCAGGGGCAGATTTCAAAATTTTGCTGAGTTTCAGAGGGTTTCAGAAGATTTCAAAATTGCACCCCGTAAGAAGTATTGGGCCTTCAGTGTTTGACATAATGTTACGTCAAGAAAGTTGAATGACAGAAAAAGTTTCAGGTTGGCTCGAACACGTTTGAATACAGTCCTTGTGAACTTTTTGTTGGCATTACCAACAAAGTAACTCCTTTTTAACACAGTAATAGGTTTGCTACTGTAGACATCCCAATATTTGCGTTTCACACGTGAAAGTGTGTTCAGAGCGCGGCGTTGTTGGAACAGTGACACCGCGTTGACGTGTTTGCGGTGAAAATGTCGCCCTTGTTTGCGCCGCAAACGTGTGAAGGACTAAGGTAACATCCTTGTGCTGACCAAACAGGTGCTACGGGTGATCTACAGGTGGGGGAGAATGCGTCACTTTGGCAGGTGAAACACCTGAATAGTAAGGGAAAAATCACAGGAGGGGGAAACATCTGGGAGTTAGAACAAACCTTTTTTTTGGCTAGCAAAACTTCTAGTGAGGAATTTCTTAAAAAAGAACACTAGTCTTCCAATTGGAAGGTGAAACACCTTGAAATTAGAAAATAATCAAAATAGCAAGCCAAACACCTGAAAGTTGGAAACACATCACTTTGGCAGTTGAAATACCTGAAAGTTAGAAAAAATCACTTTGACAGGTGAAACACCTGGAAGTTAGAAAAAAATCACTTTGGCAGGTGAAACACCTGGGAGTTAGAAACATGTCACTTAGGTGAAACACCTGGAGTTAGAAACAAATCACTTTGGCAGGTGGAACACCTGGAGATAAAAAAAATCACTTTGGCAGGCGAAACACCTGGGAGTTAGAAACATGTCACTTTTGCAGGTGAAACACCTGGGAGTTTAAAAAATCACTTTGGCAGGTGAAACACCTAGAGTAAGAAACAAATCACTTTGGCAGGTGAAACACCTGGAGTTAGAAACAAATCACTTTGGCAGGTGAAACACCTAGAGTAAGAAACAAATCACTTTGGCAGGCGAAACACCTGGGAGTTAGAAACAAATCACTTTGGCAGGCGAAACACCTGGGAGTTAGAAAAAAATCACTTTGGCAGGCGAAACACCTGGAGTTAGAAAAAAATCACTTTGGCAGGTGAAGCATGGACAATACAAGAAAATCACTATTGACAACAACAATCTGTTGAAAAACTTGAGAAATAGGAGAGCAAATCTTGACCAAACCATTTTTTTTCTGTAGAATTTTCATGCTAATGAGACTTGCAATTTGAAAGAAATATGCTAGAAGGTATCTAATTTTGTCATCTTGTTCATTGAAGCAAAACATGAAAATCTTCTCTGACATGTAACTTATTCCAAAACTTTTCAATTAAGGCATATGATGGACAATCATTCGTTGAAAAAAAAGACTTTGGAAGATGTATTGAGTATTTCAGACATTTGATGTCAACAGATTCCTGATACAAAGACTATAAAGGCCGGAATTTTTTCCTGGAAACAGTTTGACGTCAAAAGACTGTGTGATAAAGCCGTTGCCATAGTAACTGCTGTCAATCAGCACACCATTCATGTAACTGTAATTGCAAGCTTTTCACAAATATAAGAGTGTGTATGGGGTTGTTCCTGTGTATAGGAGGGTGTGCATGGGGTTTTATCTGTGTTTTGTTCCATCTAAATGTTGAAATATAGGGGCAAGGTCTTTTGTGCAGCAAACATGTCGATGGACTATTCATGCTAAAGCAGGCGTTTTGTTTGCCTTTTCAATTAGCCAGAAAAAAATGCAGTAACAGATGAAATCACTGCTTGAACTTTTGCTCATGTCATTTTTCAATGTCTGTAAGTCGTAAGTTATTAATAGTAAAAGTTCAAGCAGTGTTTTCAACTGTAACTGCATTTTTTCAAGCACGAAATAATTTCAAAACAAAGGTGTAACTTAATACCCTGTGAAATTCTCCTGTTTTGAATCTTTATGTACTTTTTCTTTTAACTGAAAGATAAAATAAAAAAGAAAGTTTACTCAATTGAGAAGAAAATGTTGCATTTTTGCATAATTTGTCTGTTTTTTAATCAGAAATTTGATTATTGACTAACATGAATTTTTCCCTTGTCAGCAGTTTTTGTTTCATTTTATAAAATGTTTCCTTTAATATATACAAATTTAAAGTAAATACTGTAACAGCTTTAAGAATGTTTCTCATAACAGCTTTAGTATTGTGACATATACTTTCAAGAATGTTACATGTACATGTATACACACATTACAAAATTAATGTAACGTTAAGCCGTTAGATCCAAATTTAAACTCTTATTCTATCTAGAAATGACTCAGTTCTTTGGGGCCTGCAAGGGGGGGTCCCGATAACACTCTACACTGAATTGGGAAACTTCTTGATTACGCTTTACGATAAATTGGCCACAACGCATTACATGGAATTAAAACGGAGAATACGCTCTATGCGAAATGCGCCAATCACGCTCTACGTTGAATTAGAGCGTCCGTCTACGCTCTACGTAGAATTAAAACGGCGATTACACTCTACAGAAAAGGGCTTGCGGGGCCCCTTCTTTGTTGGAGAATTCAACTTGTACTAATGTTTTGGTTGGATTTTTGTTTAAATCTTTCACCACACAGTACCCACACACTGACACTCTGAATGACTAGAAAGTCCCACAGTAACTAGTCCACACACTACAGTCTCTTGTCACACTGTTAGGAAAACACCCCACGCTGAGAAATAATTGCTTCTTGGCATTGGAATGTGAAATAACGACATTCTATTCAGCGTACTCTGTTGAAGGGTGCCAGTGTACATGTACCCTTGACTCCTAAGTGCATAGCTTAGTTGTCAATATAGCACTGTGCTTTGAACTGAAAGATATGTTACTGTATTTTGAAAATAACATTTAAGTTACTAGTAGTTAACTTTGTTTTGAAAATCTGATAGTTTTTTTGGTTATATACATACAGTAGTGCTTGTATTGACGGAACGAGAAATTTGACTGTACTTATAATTTTTAAAATATCTAACAGTCAGGGGTTAAAGTGCCATCAACTGACCTGTCTATCAGTTGATGGCACATGTCTGTGCGTTGGGTTCGTGAGTTGGCGACCCAGGTTCGATTCCCAGGAGATTTTGTGTTCTACTTGTCCCTTTCACATTTTCTACCTTCCAGTTGGTGAAGTAAAAATTTTTATGGGTTCACTACACCACGAAGTGGTGTGGTGAAACCATATTGCTTTTTCTGATGTTTCTTCTTCTCCTTCTCCTCCTGCCATTTTTTAAATGGATTCAGCTTCTTCATTTTAGGGCCTAAGGTCCTGAAATTTGGTATGGAGGTACAGTGGGCAAATACCCCTAGGCGTTTTTTAAATGTTTGTGATACAGGCTTTTAGAATGGTTTTATTTGAGTTTTTTGGCTGTATTATAGCTAATGTATTACTGTGTTAGTGTGCCATGTTTACCACGTCTGGGCATGAGTCATCACAATGGAATGCAGGGAATCAACCAATAGGCATGCAGCTTTCCTCTATACTTCTTGCTGATTGGCTGTTGGAATTTAACTTGATTAACACCTGCACACTGAGCATTTCCACCTGCACAGAGCATTTCTTGCTGATTGGCTGTTGGGATTTAACTTGATTAACACCTGCACAGAGTATTTCCATACTGACAGTATGTCTTTATTCAAGTGTTTTGGTAGGTATTTCAAGCTTTTCTGCTCCAGCATTGGAATGCGGGGCATGAACGTTTTTTTTATTTTGAAAATCAACAGTTTGCATTATGCAATTAAAAATCCTAACCAATAAAGTAGGGAATAGCTATCCAACTGTTGTTTTAGTTGTATGTTACTTCATATTATAGTTATATCAATGTAAATCATTGTTTTCCCTTGTGTTTCTCATTCTTTCCCTGCCATGTGGTAAAATGTGGTGAACCCATCGCTGTATTTGCTCCAAAGCAAATATTGGCCTTTCTAGTTAAATTTTGCATTCTAACAAAAGTGCATATTTCAGAATTTTCTGTGACACCTCTTGCAAAGAATTTTTCGTTGTTGAAATAAACCCTTATCATAACCCCCATACCATCATTACTGGTTTGTCCCTAAATGGTTACTTACTCAGGGGAGGGATCATTGCTGCTACGGTGCCCATCAGGAGAGGGTGGCGCCAATCTCTGTTTGGAGTAAAGACTTGTGTCGTTGGTGTTGTTGTTCTCTGTCGTTGTTGTTGTTGTTGTTGTGTACTCGTTGTTGAAGATATCTTGTGATTGTTTCTGGAAAGGAAACAGAGAAACATATTAGATTAGTTAACACACACATACGAAAAGTATTCATTTCAAAATCTAAAAAAGCCCTAAAAGAGAGTTTGAAATTAGCCTGTCGTGCAGGCCCCAGCTATCGTGTGATCGGTCCCTACCACAGATTCAGTCCCACCCCTTCCTGAGATATCATCTGAACTGTCCCTTCTACGACATTTCCTGTACACACAACCCCCAGGCCTGAATGCACATCCGACCAACACTCCCCACACTTGAACAGTCACTTCACAAAATAGAGTTTCAGTCACTTGGTTACCGAGTTTGTTTACTTTTGGGTGGTGGTTTTAAGCCCTCGACTAGTCATAACCGGTGAATAGGCCCCCAGTAACGCAATGCGGTTTGTCGTGGGGGTCCAAAAAAATGTGGTTCACTCCGGGACACTGGGGTAATGTGGATGAGGAATGTTTGATTAGATTAAGTGTCCCTGTGTTGTGACCAATCAGGATCAAGTATCATAATTACTTGGCCTGAATCACTGTTTTAGGGAAATGATTGACATAATACTTACTAGCAGCTCCCTTATCTACTTGTCATAATTTGATTAGGAAAATTTATATCATAGACACTCACTCAGGTGTAACAGGCTAGAATGTACCCCTGGTTAGAATGTACCCCCGGGGTTAATCTGGGGCAGGGGGATGTTCTGAGCTGTTACACTGGCACCATCAAATTTTACAGGTGCATCAGGACCAACCTATCTTAAATTCCACAAAAAACACCTTAAGGTCCCTCTGACTCAAAGACACTTACCTCGGGTCTACAGGTGTGGTCTTAAGGTCGAACCATTGAACCCTTAAGGACCATCACTCACACAGTCTTGACTTAACAGCTGTTATTACAAGCTGTCTTAAGAGATACTCAAGAAGGTTGCCGGATGTCAGTTGAGAGTCTTGAACTGTTTTGTTTTATGGACCATTTCAGGTGGTAAGGACGTACTAGATGCTGTAGATTTTATGCTGGTTGCAATTGTGCTTTTCAAGGTTAGGCCACACCGCCTTAATTTTATGGATGACATCTGCGCGCGCATTAGTTTTCGCCTGATCTCAAAAAAAAAAAAAAGATCACGTCTTCCGAGGCTCTGGCCTGGTTTTAGGCCTGGGTAGTCCATGGTAGTTAGCGACAACGAAGTCGCTGGTATCTCGTCGGTGGAGGATGGCACCCAGGCTGCCGAAGCTCCACGGGTCAAGAACTCAGTACATTCGTACAGTGTCGATTCATTAATTCCATAAAAAATCCAGCATGTGCCGGCCTGTCGTATACGTCGCTATGTAATGCGCAAAATTCACAATATCGGCTTTGTATTCCTATGGTTTAGTAGCATTTTTATTTTTGGCTGGATTTTTCTTTTTTTCGCCCACGCGCACTAGTTTGGGGGTCTTCAGAGGATGTCATCCATAAAATTAAGTCAGTGTGGCCTTATGATTATGCATCTAGCTACATGTAATATAGTCAAAACTGATAAATACAAACTGAATACAACAAAGACTTAGATATAGGTGAGGCACAGGTTTTGCTGAATCATTGTGAAACAAAGAAACCTTGAATTACAAAACAATTGAACACCATACCCTGTGTGTATTTGTCATAAATTTTTGGTATATGAAAATTTGTATTTTGAGACACGTACTCTAGTCTGTCAATTTTTTTTACTAAAATGTTGTTATTAACATAGCATTTGAATTTTGTTTAAAAACTATAGTTATTATTATATATAATAAGATTTATTATATAGGCATTCAATCTCACTCAATGTTGAACCTAAGTTCCATGACAATACCTGAATTTTACCTCAATGTTTGAATACATGTTGTAATGGTTTATGTGACTGTGTATATTACAAATATCATAAATTATACAATACATCATTAATTTTGGATACTAGTATGTTACCAAAGCTTAAAAACTGGTATAATGTATAAATTATTCATTACTGGTGTCCATCTAGTTAAATAACCAAAACCTACCCCTCTACATTACCCCATTCACCTAATAGTATGCACGTACAACAGTCTCTAACCAAACAAACCGTAAATCGTCTGGGCGGAGCCCTGTCGTTTTTTAACGCCAAGGTAATAGCGTTGAGTGTTACAATGTTCAATGTAACATTTTATCCCTATAAAAAAGCCTGGTATGTTGCGTGTACGCGTTGTTGCTTTTTTTCGCCGCCGTTGTTATTTTTACCGATGATTTAGAGTGCACAGTTGAAAGGACTCTTATGGCACATACCATCCTAACAGCACTTGTAACGCTCTATTTCATTCGTACATGCGTCTGGTGTTTTTTGGGTGCTTTTAGCCATTGATTTATGTGATGGCCCCCTTCAAAGACACTTACCCCCTGCGCTGTAGTATTCTTAAAGGCATCCAATGCAATTTCAGGGCAGCAAAACTGGAAATATTCTGAATAAGACAATTTTTATGATATTGACACATACTGCTCCACATTAGCACATTTTAATCAGCATTTCATACTTTGGGCTTCTAAAACTGCAAAAACAAGCCCCAAGATTAGTCCTTTATTTTCTGGGTGGTACCCTAAAATCAGCCCAGGGCCCTTCCAGTAACCATTTTCCATCAGAATTTTGGGAATGTTTTGCTCCATGAGGTTCAATATACATTGGGATAGTGAGGTTTCAACAGATAGTATGATGTAGTGTGTAGATAAGTGACTAGAATATTGACATTGAAAAATCGGGTTTCCAAGTCCTAAAAACTGTACTGGATGCCTTTAACATTGTTTTTCTCATAAGACCCCCCTAGGGAAAAAAAGAGCGTTGTTTGCAACCACTTTATTTTTTTTTTTTAGTAAAGTGGTGAAAAATTTACTAGGAGCTAGAGATAACTAATTTGCAATAAACAAGAAACTAATTTTTGATAGATTTATTTTGAATACCAATAATTTTCAAACTTATATAATAAGTGATGTTTTTATTCTTTAAATCAAAATATGCTCAAATTTTGGGCTTTAAGATTCCTCCTACAACCTATAGCACCACATTGCTTGCAATCTTTGGTTCAAGCCTTTAATAATGCTTTTGTATTGTCACAATGCCATTTGAAAATAATATATAGACTTGGACATTGTTGCATGATCAGAGTCAATTGCCCTTTGAATTGCCTAGGAGACCCTTATACACCTTTACAAACACTATATTACATACCCATTCATTTTCTTCTGACATCCATTCTGTTGTTAATCACTTATGACAAGTATTATAGTCAGTCTTCTATATGCCACTAATTGATTATTGAAAACATGTCACTTCTGAATTTTTTTATATACATGTTGTATTGTTAATCCTCTAGCAACAAAGCTTTATTTACACCTGTATCATAATACAGTTTATCAACAAAATAGCTCTTTGGTGGGCTTTATGAATGGATGGTTAAAGAGCTGGCATTTGCTAGCTAATGTAAAATATTCCCCTCTCGTCTTTTAGAAGACGTATGTGATAATTAAAGTGAAACATTTTTAATACTTACATTTTTGTTGACGGCTTTAAATCTCTCTACATCCACTGGCAACGGTCTTTGCATCTGCAAAAGAAGCAAAAATTTGAGTCATTAAACAAAAGAAAATATCTGCAGTACCAGAAAAACCGCTAGGGATCAAAGAACTAGTCACCCAATTTTCACCTACATGCAAAAACTGTCAAAATTTCATAACTTTGGTCCATTTTATTTAATCACTGAAATACAGTTGCCAGAAAGAGATACATAAAAGAATCATAGAAATAATTCAACAAAGGTCTCACAAAATTCAGCATTTATATGGGCTGTCTTTGTAATTGATAGGCAGCGCTACCAATTAATTCATATGTTTTCTGGAATTCCAGACTACGGTGACTGTACGCTAACCCCACTGCTACCCAAATCTTATCATCATTTTGGTTGTCTTGTTGTAGATTTATTAAAAGCTTTTGATTGGTTTAGTAACTGTTCTCAGGTTGAGTACTACTTGTGGCGGAGTCAGTTCACCCATGTTAGCGGTCAAGGCTAACTCCCTGTCTTTCCACAACAAACCCAGTAATGAGATAGTCTTGACTGGAGGTTAACTGCGGTCACAAACAAAAACCCATCCTCTACTATTACCAATAGTATTGTAGGTGTGTCTGGTTGTTTAACGGTTTCCAAGGCGTGGCTCTGAAAAGAAGGTTCCATTTAAAGTTTTTCAAAACCCCATGGAACACCGTTTCGTGTAACATGTCGACAAGAAACGCTTTACTAATTATTTTAAGAGTCACTTATTTAAAAGTCAACGGTATGAGGCAGACCGATACGTGTTTTAAATCTAGCTTGGCAAGAGTCCTCTCCGTTTTGTTTAGTTTAGGTGAACTGAGTCGCGGTGGGGCCAACCACAGGTGCCCTTGGGTCTGATTAGGTTACCCCAAACGGTATGAAATTTACACCACTCCTTCTGGGGTTTCCTGACTTAAAAGGAAAGGGCACGTGGGGTGCTAAAGAGAGGGGTGTCCAAAAATGTACCGAGTATTTTTCTACCTGTCTGTCATAAAATAAACATGTAGCGAATTTCCTATTCCCGTATCTATTAGAAGGAGTGACGCTTTTTGTTTTAAATTCTTATTTTTAGCGGCAAAACTTATGACTCTAATATTCTTTAAATATAGCCTAAGCACGTTTCCAAGAGGGTTTGTTTCTACACTTGACAGAATTTCAATAAACGTGTTTTGCGTCTTTTGTCCCTCTGTGTTGGGTGGAAATAGATAGCTTATATTTTTAGATATGATGTCATTTATTTCAGGAGCTCGGTTACCTTTTGAAGTGCTTGTTGTTTAGGTTTCTCTTACAATAAACAAAATGCACGTGTAGTTAAGAGGTCTAGGAACTTTCTAACATGCAATGACTTGATAAAAAATTTTGTACCAAAAAAAATTGTCTAATATGTCGCAAGGAACGAAATAGACAGCTACAAAATGGACCAGAAAGCCCTGTTTTTTTTACTTTTGACATTAACAAAAATAGCGCTATGTATAAAATGAATTAATGCCTTTTTAAAATCGTCCGATAAAATAACATCCTACAAAGTGAATGCACTGAAGTTATAAAAATGTCAAAGTTTCAAACTTTTCTAAGGAGTGCATACCATAAAAAGAAAATAAAAGGGACCAAAATTAAGTTTTTTTAAGTTAAAGACGCACTTTTTTAATGTCTATATTTTGAACCGTTAACCAATAGAAATTAAGTAAAAGGGAACGAAAAAATCGTACTGTTAAAAGTTTTCCCCCGTTTGTATAGTTTCTAGATCGCCCCGTGGGAGGGTGAGTTTCCGCACGTAGTACGCTCCGCGTTGGTCCCTCCAGTAGCCGCAGGCTAGGATTTAACCAGACCTTTAAACGCACCGACAAACACGTTATATCATTCAAACGCAATCTTCTACACCATGTATCATCCATAGTTTTACCATAAAATGTTTTTCTAAACTACGAAGCTTTTTTTCTATAAACTAAACTGGGAATTTTTTGCTACACTGGGAAATTTTTCTAAACTGGGAATTTTTTTTCTAAACTGGGAATTTTTTTTCTAAACTGGGATTTTTTTCCGAAACTGGGATTTTTTTTCTGTAAAGCTTGAAAATTCATATATCTATTTTTTTTATTAAGTTGTTATATTTGATATCTTGAATTAGATAGAGTTTTAATTTTAGGGGTTTAATTTTCAACACCAGGAAAAAATGCAGACTACGCATTTGATTGACACGTCTAAGTCTTTACCTTTCATAAGACAACATTTGGCGCGTGTTATAGGCACGTGGCATTAAGAGTAGACGTATTAAGTTACTTTGCTTAAGAAGTATGACTGGGAAAACAAAAATATATCCTAACGCTATTACTAGTATTAGTAAGGCATCATATTGAAATGATTCTAGAACTGAATTTCATGGTTAGTTATTTCAAAGAGGCCTTACCTTTATTTCTAATATTAAAAGAATTTAGAGGCAGACAGTAGGATTTTATTTCGTAGCGATATTCTATCGATATCTACGTTGCTTACCTCCCTACGTTGCCCCAATTTAAGAAATATATAAAATAAGGAAAAAACGTGAACAAAGAAGCCGAAGTTATGTATATTAATTCCATAAAAATACGTCCGTGCGTAATATATGACGTCGCACTTATATATGTCCTTAAAATAACCCCAAAAGTATTTACCTAAATGGTCTTGCCGCCAACTTTAGACCTTAGGTCCAAAACCTAGAATATATTACCAAGGAACACGTCATACATTTAAGCCGTAACTATGGTTATGCAAGCCCTTTATAGGACTAAGTGATCAGAAATATCAAACCAGGAATTATGTCTAATTTTAGATGCTTTTTGGTGCTTTGGTTATTCTAGGATGATAGGATTTAGGAATAGTAAAAGCACCACGAAAAGCATAAATAAATAAGACGATTTCGATAAGTATATTTTGAAAGATCATATTACTAAGTACAATAATAATTTTGTGGAAACTTTTGTGCCATCCATTGAAAATACGGTGAATTTTGATCGTCACCTGATTGCTAACGTTTTATGGTTGCTACCGATTTTTAGCTGCTGCCGTTTTTTTTTGGTTGCTACCGTTTTTTTATTGCTACCGTTTTTCGGTTACTACCGTTTTTTTTTTGCTACCGTTTTATGTTGCTACCGTTTTTTGGCTACTACCGTTTTTTGGCTGCTACCGTTTTTTGGTTGCTACCGTTTTTTGGTTGCTACCGTTTTTTGGTTGCTACCATTTTTTGGTTGCTAACGATCTTTGGTTGTTACTGTTTTTGGGTTACTACCGTTTTTGTTGGTACCGTTTTTTGGCTGCTACCGTTTTTTTGGCTGCTACCATTTTTTGGTTGCTACCGTTTTTGGTTGCTATCGTTTTTTTGGTTGCTACCGTTTTTTCGGTTGCTACCATTTTTTGGTTGCTAACGTTTTTTGTTACTGCCAGTTTTGGGTTGCTAACGTTTTTTGGTTGCTACCGGTTTTTGGTTGCTACCTTTTTTGGTTGCTACCGTTTTCTATTGCTACTGTTTAATGGTTGGTACAATTACATGTTCTGAATACTGCCGTTTTCTAGTTACTGCAGTGTTTTGGTTGCTTTTTCTTGTTGTTGCGACCTTTTTATACCAAGGACGTTATACCTTTCCAAAGGTTTCCCGACAAAAAGCCCACAATTTATTCGGCGAGTTACAAAAGGTAGAAAATCAGAAGGTAACCATGAAAACCGTCGCGATCGGGTCCCACGGCGTGAACTTCCTTTCATTTACTGGGGACGCCTACGTCAATATACGGTAATCTCTAAGCAGATAAAACGTTTGAAGTGGCTTGCGGCCTTTCTCCCGTTTCTACGTCTACGTGTGGGAATACTGAAACTTTATTGCATGTTCATTCCCCGGGGGGATAAATGCACGAATGTACAGAGTACATTGTACTAGCTACTACTTTCTACCTACACCTATCCCATGTAAAAGTAGTTAGAACGTATTTAAAAGACAAAACGTTTCAGTACTAAATAAATGGGATAAATAACCAAAGAGTTTAGGCCACAGTAAGTAATTTTTTGGATGACATCAGCGCGCGCTTTAATTTTCGCCTGATTTTGGGGAAAAGACACAAGAAATTTTGTTGCCTTCTGACAGTGGTCAACATGCCGAAAATGAGCAAAGATGTCTGTTGCCATGCCGGAAGGTGCATGGCAGATAACCACGAAGAGGGGAGACAAAAAAAGGCTCTGATTTAATGGTTTCTTTCTTACTTTGATGCAGTGATATGTGATGCTGGCTGTGTATATGTGATGTTCCTACTGAATCAAAACCATTTGTGCGATGAAATTGAGTCAAAATTTTAAATTGTAAAAACCTTGTTTTTTTTCGGCCCGTCTTGTTTTTTTTTTCGCTCGCTCGCATTAGATTTGGAGTCTGCGGAGGATGTCATCCATAAAATTTACTTGCTGTGGCCTTAGGTAAAATGCGCACCGCTAGTACTACACTGAATCTACCCCTTGCATCTGTTTTGAGATTGTGAGCACGTATCCCAGTTGCGTGTGGACCCAAGTCCTATAAATAGGTTGAAATCTCTTATTATCTCTGGGCGGCGTAAATCATTGATACAAAGCTGGCCCTTGGTAATATTGATTTTGTGGAGGCGGTTACGCACTTGACATACCGCATGCAGCATGTAGATTATATTGTAAAATCACAGCACGCGACCATTGGGTAATAAACGGGTCCGGTTATGTTTATCGTAGGAAAACATATTGTTTTTGCTACGTTTTTGCTACGTTCTTCTCCAAAAAGTGTCCTCTGACCTGACTGAACCATCAGACTGTTTCTCACCATGGTAACTGGTGTTAGGTTACATCATGTTGCAATTTTATAGCAGAAGGGATTTATACTCCTGTCTGACCATAAATATGAATGTATTTGAGTTAGAATTAACAGAGCAGATCTTATGTGAAGGTAAACATTATGCATTTGGTTGCAAATGTTACCTTTCTAGTTTTTTCTTGTTTTATTTTATTGGAATTGCAACATTTTTAAATTGCAATATCCTCGTAAATTATATTGTGAAATCACAGCACGCGACGATTGGGTCATTTTTTTCTTTATTTTTATTTTATTGGAATTGCAACATTTTTAAATGCAATGTCCTTGTAAATTATATTGTAAAATCACAGTACGCGACGATTGGGTCTTTTTTTCTTCTTCTTATTTTATTGGAATTGCAACATTTTTAAATGCAATATCCTCGTAGATTATATTGTGAAATCACAGCACGCGACGATTGGGTTATTTTTTCTCTATTTTTATTTTATTGGAATTGCAAAATTTTTAAATGCAATATCCTCGTAGATTATATTGTGAAATCACAGCACGGGACGATTTTTATGTTTACCGAAAAAAAACATATTGTTTTTGCTCTTCTTCCTCTTCTTCTCTAAACCAAAAGGTCAATGACCTCAAACCAGACGTCTGTCGCCATGGTAACTAGTGTTGGGTTACATCATGTTGCAGTTTTATAGTAGGAGGAATTTAGACTCCTGTCATATATGTGAATGCGTTTGAGTGAGAATTAGCAGAGCAGGTATGCGTATCTGAATCAGAGGTTTGTAATAAAACACTTCTTATTCCTAATAACGTTCGCGAAATTTCATTCTGTTTTTGACCAACCACTTGCCAAACAATGGAAACAAAAAAAAATCGATTTAAAAAAAAGGCCACTGAAAAATATTTTTTACTATTGTTGCTTCATGTATCGAAGTTCAATCTGAATAAATTCCATAATCAATTAGAATTGATAATGAAATAATTTCTTGTACACGCCATATGCCAACCACGAATGAAAATAGCCACATTTCAAAATACATTTTGGTTCGTTACATAACGTCTTAATAGCACCAGTCTAAAAGTCAACCAGGCATAATACTTTAAGTGTACCACAATTGCTGTACTGAGAGCACTCCAGAAAATAAAAGAAAAAGAAAAATTCCGCATGAAATTTTGGGGGTGATATTTTCATACAAATCGATATTGAAAAAGGTCGATGATTTAAGTAAGCAACGCAAATTTTGAAGTGCTAGAATTGTGAACACCTCTAGAAATATAAAGATTAATAGTTTTTTTTACGTATGAAACGTAATACTATACTACCATGGTATTATGAAAGATTAATAGGTTTTTTGCGTATGAAACGTAATACTATACTACCAATGTATTATGTAAGTGTGCTATTTTAGCACTACACTTCAATATTTCAAGCTTTCTTATTTTTCTGTAAAGCAATATACTAGAATGAGATACTGGACTGCTGTGGGTTTTCGAGAGCTTCGTTTTATGACAAACGAATGTAGACTTCTTAGATGGATTTGTCAATGGAATTACTGGAAAAAAATCGTTTTCAGCTTGAAACAGCTTTTCAGCTGTTTCGACCAAAGGTTGACGCTCTTCTATTGTATTTGAAGGCCGTGTCTAAACGGAATCACCCAAGGCGGTTTACATGTGGTTTACCCCGAAGCCGGTTTCAAGTGGCTCCATCTGAACGCTCCAAATCACATTGAAAGCGCCTCGATCCCAAGCCACTTCTAGAGGTGGTTTCGAATCGGTTTCCCCGCATCGCGATTTGCGTCTGAACGCAATATGATTTCAATGTGACTTCGCCTGGTCATGGATTACGGAGTGATATTTCTTTTTTTATATGCAATACCAACTTTTACGTGGCAGCAACTTAGGCCCACTCTAGACGAAGCATTTCGCGACAGCGGTAACTGCCGACAGCGGCACGCCGACAGCAGGAACGCCGTCTAGAGAGGATTCCCGACAGCGTAGTCCCGCTGTCATGAAATTTTCTGACGACAGCTCCAAAGTTGTCGGCCGACAACTCAGCGGGAGTCCCCGACAACTTAAAGTGCGTATAGAGAACTCGCGACAGCGGGAGGTCAGGGTTCAGTTTGTCACAGAGCATCTAAAATGTTCCCCTCGACATCCTGAAGCGCCTGTAAAACTCTGTATCGCACAGTGTGCCTTGACAAATTTTTGCCAAAAAGGTCGCGGGTTTCTTAACGTATCGCCAGATCCTCCGGTGGACAGGATCACCACCTTTTGCCAAAGCAATGGCAGCGGGGAGTAAGCAGGGGCNCGACGTGTCAGCAACATCT